TATATTCATTTATATACTATAATGTTATCATATCTCTAGTTGATATGAGATTTTTTGATGCACTTCCTCACATTGAAAATAATTTTTTAGGACGAGTAAAATAGGCTAGGCTTGGTGGGCTAGTAATGGGGATATGACCATGAGCAAGAACAATGATCCACTTGAAGGACTTGGAAGACCTAAGACAAGGGCTAGAACAAGGGAAACAAATAAAACTCTTCAATAAGTGTTGTCCATATTATTTGATGACAAACCCACATTTCAAAGAAAAAAAGGCCAAAGTTGTAAATTACATCATGACCCAAATGAAGGAGGATTAATGTGTCACTTTGCTTCAGTCTTTAAGTTTGTTTAAATAATGGATCAATCATTTATAAAATTGGCTAACCAAATTATGTTTTGGGTTAATTAATTAATGAGCTTTAGTTTGATTTTGTTTGTAATAAGGGCCCAATGGAAAACTTTATATAACTGCTTTTGGGTGACTTTTGGTTGCCACAATTTCAGTTACAATCAGCCATTAAGTAGTTTTCAATTCCTAGATTAATGAATCATTATTAGCATTTATTTTCCTTTATTGAATCTTTCTAACTGTGATGATAAAACTTTTATACAAGCTGAATCATTTTTATTAAGAATACAAGTTGAGTTTTATTCAGAAATATTAGATTTTAGCTCTTTATCTTAGTGAAAGTGATTCTCTTAAGTTCTTAAGTGATTGAAGAACCTTTGACTGTATCAAAGGATATTCACATCCTTTGTGAGTTGTCTCCTTTAGGAAGAGTGATTCTTTCCTTCGATCTTCCACATTTGTCTCTTTACCAAAACCCAGAAAACTCAATTCTGCTCAACCCTAAAATTTTCACCACTTTCTAATCCATATTCTCACTAATTTCCTAAATTTCGTATAAGGTTCTAACCTTAAAGATCCTAAGTCGACCATTTTGCAAATGAGGTTCATATCAATGTCTAAAAAATGTCGGGATAGGTTGATAATTTTAATCTATCAACCCGTTTTAGCCTACCAACCCGACGAACCAATGGTGAGGTGAGGCAGAGTGACCCGCTTTAAAAGATATTTATATATTAAAATTAAAATAAAAAAATTATAATTAAAAAATGTTATATTTTTTATTTATAAAATATATAAATATACTATAATATTATAATTTTAATTATAAAAATTAATTAATTAAGTTTAAATTATTTATTATAATTAGTTATTTTAACATATAAATATATTAATTTTTTCAATTTATTTAATAAAAATATTAATTAATAAATAAAAACTTAAAAAATTTTCATATTATTAAAGATATATATATTTTTTAAAATATATATAAAAATATTTATATGAAACAAATTATTGACGAACTGACTTGTCGACCCACCTTTTGGCATTATAGACTAGGGTTTGTAACTTGTTCTCACTGTAGAAGATTAACTCTGCCTCATTTTTTGCACGCTAGAGATAGGGACGGTGGAAAGAAACAAGGAATTTTAGATGAGAAAACCAACTTATAAAAATAAATATATTATATATTCAATATTAGTAATTAAATTTAACTTTTAAAAATAAAATTTATTTCATCTTTTTTTAGATGAGTCTATAATTTATATATTTTTAAACTCAAATTGATTTTTTTTACATTTTAATATCAAAATAAAGTATCATAAATATTAAAATAATTAACTAATTATAATAAATAAAAAATTATAATAATAATCAAAATAAATTTTTTTTTTTTACTTACAAAAAATTGTTGTGAGATTTTTTTATTTTTTTTCTTCTGCTTTTTGAATAGAAGACAAGAAAAACTAAAAAACTAAAAATAAAAAATTACAATTTTTATGTTATTGAAATAAAATTATAAAAAAGAAAAAATTTATAATTTTTATGTGAAACCATGAAGAGAATAATACAAGAGTGGATGAGTGATAAAAAAAATAGAAAATTGAATAGATAAAAAACAGGTGTATGATAAAAAGTTGGAGTGGAAAAAAATGATAAATTAAAAAAAGAAAGATAAAAATATGAAAATAAAAAATGTAAGTGATAAATTATATAGAAAATAAATATAATATTTATTATAAATAAAAATTAAAAAAATAATTAAATTTAAATCTTATTTATATTTTCTAAATAATTTTTATTTAAATATATATATATATATATATATATATATATATATATATATATATATATATATATATATATATATATATATATATAACAGGTGGGGTGGGCACGGTGCTGATTCCCCTGTAATTCTCCTATAATAAATGGTATAATATTAATCTAATAATAAATAATTTAATTTATAATTATTAATTTTAACATTTCAATTACTATTACAATTAAATTAATATTATTTTAAAATACCTAATTTAACTCTAGAAAATCAGCTCCGTACTATGTGATTATTTTCACTTCTAGGATATCAAACAAAATGTTTTGGTGCATCAGAGTGAATGCTACGTACCATTCTGACATGTTTTGTTTTTAAGTGGGAATTGCCGACTCTTGGCAACGACAGACACGTATAATAATGGTGCTTTATTTGTTAATTGTCAGAGCTGTGTCCTCATATTTGTTTGTCGTCTTCCCTGAGACCTTTCTATTTATACATAAATTTTAATAAAGAGAAATGATATAATATAATTTTTTTTTCTCATACTCTATTTTATTTTTCAATTAAATTAAAATAACTAAAAAATGAAAAATATCTGATATTTTTTAATTAAATAAATAATTAAAAATTTATTTAATATTGAATCGTAGTACAAAACACAGTACTGTCCGGTATTTTCTTCAGCAAGCATGTGACTCATAGGTCTACTCATAGTCCCAACTTGGTGGACCTTTTTTTCCTCATCACCATAGATGATATAGTTAAAAATTACAATTATTAAAAATAGTTAAACTTTATTCTCCAACCGTGCATTTAAAAGGACAATAATATATTTCCTTTTTCTCACTACACATCAAATGATGATAACCCAACGACAACAAACACAACCACATACATTTTCTTGTTTTATTTTATTTTTCTTATTCTCTTCCACACCACACACTATTGATCCATTCAGAACACATGCGAATATGGGTCCAACAAGTATTTTCAATAAAACATATACTCGAAATTATAAATTTCCATCCAATTATTACAATTAAACTCACTAAGATGATGTTAATATTAATATTTATAACCCACCTCATTCATTATTATAATTAAAATAATAATAAAATCTACACATATTTATATAATAAACTATTTATTACTACAAAATCATTAACTTTATTTATTAAAATAAATATTTACAAAATTTTCTTTAACAAATAAACATTCAAAAAAAAATATATGTATATATATATGTATATATTAATCTTTATTATTATCTAAAAAATTGTCATGCATCTTAAAACAATATTTATTTATATATTTACGAAGCTAACAAACACATAATTTAGTAAACAAGTTAACTATATAAAAATTTATTTGAATAAAATTTTTAATATTTTTTAAAATCATCACATCAATCTTATTTAAATAAGTATTTTTATAGATTTTTATTTAAAAATTTCCAAAAAATTAAATATTTAGAAAATTTCAGAAAGATGATACTATATTAAATTCAAATGTCTGATATAAACGTATATATGATGTCCAAATATACTTTAATTAAGGAACAAAACTATAGATTTAATTAATTTCTTATTTGGAAACACATAGAAATTTATAATTATATTTAGTTAAATGATTGATTTACAATTTTGTATTGTCATAGAACAATTAATATCGATGAATGAAGTTATTTTAAATATAACCACAGATCCTCCATTGACTATTTTCATCTTCATATTTAACTTGAAGAATGTTGTCTCTATAATAATCACTGTTTAGATCATTACAAAATAATAACACCTCTCACTAATTATTATTCCATCAACATGGCTTCATCTCATCACACTGTTATAAAATATTTCATGCTAATTTCATCATTTTATTCAATGCATAAACTCATTATTTCACACCAGTCAAACATTTCTCATCTCATATTAAAATTATCTAACCATGTAATCCAATAATTAACATAATTAACTTAAGTAAACTAAAGTATTAAAAATATAAAATATAATAGTAACAGTGGTTATATAATATTTATTTCCCATTAATCTTCAAAATTATGTTTATAATCATTATTGTATTTAGTTAATTAAAATTAAAACTAAATCTATATTGAACGTTTTATAATTTCTACCAATTACCGGTCTTCATATTTAAATCAAATAGTATAAAACTACACCAATATAAATATTATATTTTGTCTTTAGTGTCAGATCACTTTGATCGATTTAATAAATTTTATTATGAAAACAAATAAAATAAGTGATCTTTAACACAATTATGCATTAATTTGTATGAAACAATAATAACTTATAATATTAGTAATCAGCCAATAAAGATTAAATTATTACATATCACTCTAAGAACCCCAAGATCACATAAAAGGTTCACTCGTGCATCTAACTGTTATATAATTCTTTAGTATCATTTATAAGTTATTTACGAAATATATATATATATATATATATATATATATATATATATATATATATATATATATATATATATATATATCAAAACTAAATTGTAATCATAATAAAACAAAAAAAAATGTATTAATGTTTGATTTATAAATTTATGGTTAGGATTCTCCCCTCTCACTTCACTTCGTGAATTGAAATTATGTTAATTATTACAAAAAAAGAAGAAGAAGCTATTCATACCTTTATTTTTCTTTCTACTTTCACTATATATAAGTTTTGAAATTAGCATAGACACTATGTTTGGTTTCATTGATATGACCAAGGAATTAGGATTGACACTATATATGTGTAATGCAGCATTCATCACACACACCTGAGTTTGAAGATTAACTCAACGCAACATCAGCAGCAAGAAGACACGTACGGAACTGAGTTTTGAAGGCGAAGTATGGGGAGTGATGAAAAGAAGTCATTGTTTGAGACTAGCAAAGACAGAGCAAGACATATTCGCAGGCTCTATGCTGTCTCTGGGTTTGTAGCCATATGCTTTGTCTGGGCATTCAGATTGAGCCACATACCCGCAAAAGGGGAACCTGGCCAATGGGCTTGGCTTGGTTTGTTTGTTGTGGAACTGTGGTCTGGCATCTATTGGGTCTTCTATCAAGTCCCCCGCTGGAACTTGGTCTTCAGAAAAACCTTCCCCAGCAGACTCTCTCAGAGGTTAATCTTCTCCACCTTCACGTGTTTCAAAAAATACGTGTAAGAAATAAAAATAATACCCTTTTATTTAAGCATAAACATGCTGAGTCAGGTATATACTTTTCACTAACAGTACGTTGCTGTCGTCATACTTGGTTACTTCAATTATGGTTTTAAATTCAAGTTTGTTGGATATAAAAAAAACATGGTCGATAAAGAAGATTTTAGGTGATTAGTAAACTTTTCCACATATATTATCATTAACATGATAGCAGATACTTTCTAACAATAATTTTGTCACAGAAAGATAAATATAAATAGTTTTGACTACTGAACTTCCAACTTGTGTTTGAGTTTTGAGTATAGAATTGTGTGTTTTAATTTGACAGATATGAGAGTAAGTTGCCGGGAGTGGACATATTTGTGTTTACGGCAGATCCAGTGGTTGAGCCACCCGTGATGGTGATAAATACTGTCTTATCTGCGATGGCTTACGACTATCCAACTGAGAAGCTGAGTGTGTATCTCTCAGATGATGCTGCCGCAGATGTAACTCTTTATGCTCTTTTGGAGGCTTCTAACTTTGCCAAGCATTGGGTGCCATTCTGCAAGAGATTTAAGCTCGAACCGAGGTCACCTTCTGCCTTTTTTAACACCCTTCTCTCAACAAAATCACACGACCATGACTATGTCAAGCACTTGGCAACCATCCAGGTATGATAATCACGATGTTTTTTTCAGTTGCATCTCAATTGTTAGCACGTATTGTGAAGAAGACTGTTCTTGCGTTTTATTTGTAGAAATTATACGAAGAAATGAAAAGGCGAATAGAAGATGCAACCAAGTTAGGAGTACCCAGTGAAGCACGGTCAAAGCATAATGGATTTTCCCAATGGGATTCGTACTCCTCTCGACGTGATCACGACACTATCCTTCAAGTAGGTTAATTATTAACATTCTCAACTTATATTTCAGAGTTTTACATGTCAATATTATTAGTTGTTAAAAGAATAATTTTGATTGTGTATGATCTTACCAGATACTGGTGCATAAAAACGAGTCGCAAAACTCGAAGGACGTAGAAGGATGCATTTTGCCAACCCTAGTTTACGTGGCTCGGGAGAAGAGACCTCAATATCACACCCACTACAAAGCCGGAGCTGTAAATTCATTGGTATAGTATATATAATTATCAGGTTATAAAAATCGTTCAACTTAAAAAATATTTATAAAGATCTAATTACAATTACTTCACTAAAAATATCTAATAAAAACTTAATTCTACATCTAGATAGGATAAAACTTACTTTGTCCACCCAATGAATCTCATGGGATTAAAACTTTGCTTCGTGTTATAAGAAAAATAACAAAAAAGTTATATGATGTTATTATTTACAAAATGAGTTTTGCCAAAAAAATAAAAATAAAAATATACAACACGATATATAAGAGTTGTAACCTAGTAAATCATCTCGTAATCTTGCATTGCAAGTGGTTTATATTGACACATATTGTCAATGATTGAACAACTATTATGCACGACTCTCTCTTTAAATATATTTATTGCACAATGTGTGTCAGTAACTCATGCATTGAATATAACAATATATTTCTTTGATCTAAATGTAGTTAAGAGTGTCTTCAACGATTAGCGATGGGAAAATTATTCTAATTCTAGATTGTGACATGTACTCGACCAATTCACAATCAGTGAGAGATGCTCTATGTTTTCTCATGGATGAAGATAAAGGCCAAGAAATTGCTTATGTGCAATTTCCACAATATTTTGATAACATTGGAAAGAATGATCTATATGGGAATTCTTTAGAAGAAGCTATCGAGGTGAGTTAGTTAAATTATTGATGGAATGAAAAGATTTTCAATTGTTTCCTCTACCTGCCCTTGTTTCTATTTGATTTTATTTGTATATTTCACATTGTCTCGATCATTTTGAAGGTGGATCTCCATGGTTTAGATGGTTTTGGTGGCCCTATGTTTATTGGAACGTGTTGCTTTTTTAGAAGAGATGCTCTTTACGGGAAGAAGTATAGTTGTGAATACAAAAATGACTGGAATGATGAGAATGAGAACGAGGTGACTGAGGTAAACATGCATGAACTAGAAGAAGAAGCAAAGGCTTTAGCAAGTTTTAGATATGAGAAAAATACTTCATGGGGGAAAAAGGTGATTTATTGATCTCTCTTTACACTTTGACGATAAAAAAACATGAAATTATTGTCTGCAACCTCATTCATGATTATAGTCAATCTTTAAAATAAAATAATTCGTTTAATTGTAGATTGGTGCAGTATATGGATGTCTTGTGGAGGACGTGATAACAGGGATGCGAATTCTATCACAAGGATGGAAATCTGTTTACTACAACCCACCAGTGAAGGGTTTTTTGGGTAATGCTCCAACTAACTTGCTTCACACACTAGTTCAATTCAAGAGATGGGGTGAAGGTCATATACAATTTGCGTTATCTGAGTTCAGACCTAATTGGTTTGTTAATAGACAGATCAATTTAGCCCTACAAATGGGATATTGCCACTTTAACTACATGGCAACCATTTCCTTGCCAGTACTGTATTACTGCATCATCCCTTCACTTTATCTCCTTCAGGGAATTTCCTTGTTTCCAAAGGTAATAATCACCTCCTTTTCATGTTAAAGAAGCACGTCTTTCTTACTTTTTTTCTTCTCTCTCAGATAAGTAGATAAAAGTTGAATCATGGAAAATTCCCTTTTATTGTTTTATTTTACTCATTGTTAAACCAAATCTTCGCCAATTAAGTTGATAGAATTAGTGGGCTTTTTATGAACCTTTTCCTTAAATTATTATTTTCATCATTTTTTGTATTTTGTTAATTTAAACTTCGAATTTGTGTCATATCAGCATTTGTGTCTCAGTCCTTATCCTTTAAATCCAAGAAACAAGGCTTTTCTATGATTCTTATGTACTGATGAGAATGGTGTTAACATTGTGTGCTTAATGTATTGGTTCAACAGATATCTAGCTCATGGTTCATACCTTTCGCATATGTAATTGTTGGGGAAATTACTTACAGTTTGACTGAGGGTTTGACCAAGGGATCTTCACTCCAAGGTTGGTGGAATGGTATGAGAATGTGGCTGTACTTGAGAACAAGTTCCTGTCTTTTTTCCTTGGTATCTCTCTTTGGACGATCAAATTCATCCTTTTTACTCACATCAAAGGTCATAGAAGATGATGCTGTCCAACGTTACGAGAAAGAGATCATGGAGTTCGGAACCTCTTCTCCGTATTTCACTGTTCTGGCAACACTCGCATTGCTCAATTTGTTTTGTTTGCTTGCAACTTTAAAGGACTTGGTCCTTGGCAATGGTGCCTTTGATGCTGAGAAAATGGTACTGCAACTTCTCTTGTGCGTAGTTTTGGTTCTCATCAATTTTCCCCTATACGAAGCCATTTTTCTGAGGAAGGACAAGGGTAGACTGCCAACCTCTCTTTCTATCAAGTCTACTATATTGGCTTTCACTGCATGCGTCTTCTTCAAACTATTCAACTGAATTCTTGCAGTCTTTGCTTTTATCTATCTTCTGATGGCAAAGATATTTCCTTGCATTTGCAAATTATTTTCCCAAAATGTTTACCTTTCCATTGAAAAATATATGCTTTTGGAGAATCTTGCAACGACAGAGACATCTGAATAATGGTGCTTTATTTGTTTCAGTGTGAGCTGTGTCCTCATTTTTGTTTTACTTCACTTCATGGGACCTTTTAGGTTACTTTTGCTTTCCTCGGTCATTGCGCCCTTATCTCCGCTATTATTTTGTTTTTAAAACATGTTTGGGTGAATGACCAATACTAATTTTTATATATATATATATATATATATATATATATATATATATTAATTTTAGGATATTTTTAAAGATAAAATAATAATGAATTAAAATTCTAAAATATATAATATCTCAAACATAAAAATTTAAATTTTTATGGTGTTAAAAGAGATATACCTATAATTAGTAATAAATTACATGAGAGGGAGTGTGAATATAACATAAAGAAATCATTAATAAAAAATAAACTTTTTCATTAAGGGATAAAAAAATTATAATATTTTAATTTAAAAAAAGATATTAAAAAAATATTAAAACAAAATTAGAAACATGTAACTCATAGGTATGCTCATAGTACCAACTTGGTAAACCTTCCTCTCTCTCCGTCACCTTAATCAATGAATCAATTCACCATCATATCTACGTTTGGTAAAATATAAAAGGATGATATAGGTATATTTTTATTTTTAAACACTTAAATAATATTTACAATTTTTTATTTTTCTTTTTTTATCATATCATGTTAATATTTATATTTTTTTTATTTAAATGTCATCTAATATTTAAAATGTTCACAAATATTTTTTAATATAAAATTCGAATTATGATATACATCCAACATTTCCATACCTTTTTTTAGGCCATATACACCACGCAAAAGTTGCTCTTTAAAGAGTTATTCTTCATTATATTTTTTAGTTTCTTTCAATTCAACCATTACAAAATACTCATTAAAATCGTTATATTAAATTAAAAGAAAATTAAAAATATAAGTGAAAATTAATTCTCTTATATTTTTTATAATCTAAATTTATGACTCCTAAAAATCATAATCTTAAAAAGTTACAATTATTTAATCAACAATATTTTCCAACTATCCTTAGATTTTCTCCAACCATGCATTAAAAGGATAATAATATGTTTCCTTTTCTCACCACACATCACATCAGATGATAAGAAACAACGACAAACACAACACGTACCTTTTCTCTATTCTTTCCCACTCTTTTTTTTTTTTATCATTATTCTCTTTCACACCACACACTCTTGATCCATTCAGAACACACATGCGAATGGGTCAAACAAATTAATGTTAATATTAATATTTATAACCAACCCTCATTCATTATTGTAATTAAAATAGTAAAATCTAAACATATTTATATAATAAACTATTTATTACTACAAAATCATTAAATTTATTTATTAAAACAAATATTTACAAAGTTTCCTTGACAAATAAATATTCAAAATACATCATTAATATATATGGATTAATTAATCTTTATTATTACCAAAAATATTATTCTGTATCTTAAACAATCAAACACGTTTAATTAAATATACTTTAATTAAGGAATAAAATAGTAGATTTCATTTCTTACCTTGGAACACATACAAACGTACTTAATTAAATGATGGTTACAATTTTGTATTGTTTTATAACATATATATTTGATAGAATAATATAATAGTAATAATGGTTATATAATATTTATTTCTTAATATTCTTCAAATTTATGTTTATAATCATTATTATATTTTGTTAATTAAAACTATAACTGAATCTATATTTAAAATTTTATAATTTCTTCCAACCGATCTACACATTTAAATCAAAATATAAAACTACACCAATATAAATATTATATTTTGTCTTTAGTGTCAGGTCACTTTTTTCTATTTAATAATTTTTATTATCAAAATAGATAAACTAAGTGATCTTTAAAAAAATTATGCAATAATAAGAAGTTAATTTGTATGAAACCAATAGTGTTACACAGTGCTTATAACTCCTAATATTAGTAATGAGCCAATAAAGATTAAATTATTACATTTCACTTTAAGAGCCTTAAGATCACATAAAAGGTTCACTCCTACATCTAACTGTTATATAATTCTCTGATACTCATTTATAAGTTATTTAAGAAATAACACTATTATACTTTCACATAATAAATGAATAAAACATTAATACTTTCTGAAGCACCTCAATTTATTATTTTAATTCTAAATTACTGCAATATAATTAAAATTTACTTTATCCACAAGTATATTAATTAGATTTAAAAAATCATATAATAAATAAAAATAAATTTGATCAACTCCCATAAAAATCATTTATACATTTCATACATATATATATTTCATACCTTTATTTTTCTTTTGCTTTCACTATATGTAAGTTTTGAAATTAGCATAGACACTATGTTTGGTTTCATTGATACACACCTGAGTTTGAAGATTAACTCAACGCAACATCAGCAGCAAGAAGACACGTACGGAACTGAGTTTGAAGGCGAAGTATGGGGAGTGATGAAAAGAAGTCATTGTTTGAGACTAGCAAAGACAGAGCAAGACATATTCGCAGGCTCTATGCTGTCTCTGGGTTTGTAGCCATATGCTTTGTCTGGGCATTCAGACTGAGCCACATACCCGCAAAAGGGGAACCTGGCCAATGGGCTTGGCTTGGTTTGTTTGTTGTGGAACTGTGGTCTGGCATCTATTGGGTCTTCTATCAAGCCCTCCGCTGGAACTTGGTCTTCAGAAAAACCTTCCCCAGCAGACTCTCTCAGAGGTTAATCTTCTCCACCTTCACGTGTTTCAAAAAATATGTGTAAGAAATAAAAATAATACCTCTTTATTTAAGCATAAACATGCTGAGTCAGGTATATACTTTTCACTAACAATACGTTGCTGTCGTCGTACTTGGTTACTTCAATTATGGTTTTAAATTCAAGTTTGTTGGATATAAAAAAAACATGGTCGATAAAGAAGATTTTAGGTGATTAGTAAACTTTTCCACATATATTATCATTAACATGATAGCAGCTACTTTGTAACAATAATTTTGTCACAGAAAGATAAATATAAATAGTTTTGACTACTGAACTTCCAACTTGTGTTTGAGTTTTGAGTATAGAATTGTGTGTTTTAATTTGACAGATATGAGAGTAAGTTGCCGGGAGTGGACATATTTGTGTTTACGGCAGATCCAGTGGTTGAGCCACCCCTGATGGTGATAAATACTGTCTTATCTGGGATGGCTTACGACTATCCAACTGGAAAGCTGAGTGTGTATCTCTCAGATGATGCTGCCTCAGATATAACTTTTTATGCTCTTTTGGAGGCTTCTAACTTTGCCAAGCATTGGGTGCCATTCTGCAAGAGATTTAAGCTCGAACCGAGGTCACCTTCTGCCTTTTTTAACACCCTTCTCTCAACAAAATCACACAACCATGACTATGTCAAACACTTGGCAACCATCCAGGTATGATAATCACTTGGTTTTTTCAGTTGCATCTTAATTGTTAGCTAGTCACTACAAGAAAATCGCGTATTACCGACGGATATTTACCGACGGAATTGTAGCCGTCGGAAAATAATCATTACCGATAGAAATTACCGACGGATATAAAATATTTATGAAATTTGATATTACCGACGGATATATCCGTCGGTAAAATAATAATTAGTTACCGATGGATATATCCGTCGATAAATCCATCGGTAATTTATAGATGAATTTACCGACGGATATATCCGTTCGGTAAATCCGTCGATAAATTAACAAGTAATTATCGACGGATATATCCGTCGGTAAATTCATATATAAATTAAAAATTATTTACCGAACGGATAAATCCGTCGGTAAAATTATATAATATAATTTAATTATTCACTAATTAAAAAATAAAATATTTTTTATTTAATAATTTAATTTAATCATAATTAGATTAATTTATAATAATTTATTAAATTAAGTAATTTTAAAAATAAATATTTAATTATATATATATAAATATATATATATATATAAATATATAAAAATATAAAAATATAAAATATATAAATATATAAATATATATAAATATAAAATATAAAATATAAAAATATATAAATATATAAATATATAAATATATAAATATATATATAAATATAAAAATATAAAAATATATATATAAATATATAAATATATATAAATATATATAAATATATATAAATATATATAAATATATATAAATATATAAAAATATATATATATATATATATAAATATATATAAATATATATAAATATATATAAATGTATATAAATATATATAAATATATATAAATATATATAAATATATATAAATCTATATAAATATATATAAATATATATAAATATATAAAAATATATAAAAATATATATATAAATATATATAAATATATATATAAATGTATATAAATATATATAAATATATATAAATGTATATAAATATATATAAATATATATAAATATATAAAAATATATAAAAAAATATATATAAATATATATAAATGTATATAAATATATATAAATATATATAAATATATATAAATATATATAAATGTATTTGTATATTTGTATATAAATATAATTTATTTGTAAATTGTTATCAAGAAATTCTGGTAGCTTAGTGGTTGGAGTATCGACTTCGACTCTAAGGTCCTGGGTTCGAATCCTGCCAATGACATTTCTCTTAATCGACAATAATTCAAAGTTATAAAAATATAATATGGAGAAATAATTGAAATAATTAATAAGAATATAAGGGGGAGGGTTCTATAAAAAAATAATGTTATAAATAAGTAAAATATTTAATAATTAATAAAATTATTACTGACGGATCCGGATCCGTCGGTAATTTCATAACATATTTACCGATGAATTTTTGTTATTACCGACAAGCGAATTTCCGAT